TGACACAGCTACTCGCATACACGCAATCGCTTCTTGTCAAAAGCGACGCGGCCGGTTGGCGGCAATGGAGTTGGCGTACGGCGCCAGCGATATCTACAGCGTATGCGCTTGTAATGTATACCGGAGTTTTAGAGAATTATCAGGGATCGCTTCCACTTCATCGGCGCGACAGACAAACTGACAGAGAAGCACTAGTGCAACGGCGAAAGGTGTGTTAGTGAACAAGCGCACGTTGGATGCATGCACACACATTTACGTTCACATACATATATATATGCAGGCGTGTATGTGTAGTTGTTGCATGCAAACGCTTTTCCGAACATATGGCTGTGCTACTGACGTTACTACCGTCACCATCACCATCAGCGTCGCCGCCACCACCGCTGCAGCCGCGGCCGCCTTTGAGCTGTCGTGTCGCTTGCATTGGGTGGGAGTGGTGTGAAAAGCAGCAAGGGAAGTGTGACATCTAAGCGCCATGGCACCACAATAAACTGACACTGACAGTCGGAAAACAAATATTGATTAAGCGCTGGCGTACACCCGTTAATACCCCACCCTCTTCACTACCTCATTCAGCTGTCCGGTGCGTTTGTTGTAACCCGATAACATCGAAACTCTTGTTAATTACACTTACAGGCTCAGCGTAATTGTTGTTGATTTAACTATAAATTTTATAATATTTATATAAATTGATAAATGAAGAGTAATGCCTAAGCAAATGCAGACAAATCTGCATAAACATATGTACATATTTACGCACATAAATATGGGGTTACGGAGTTTGGAAAATCTCCCACGAAACTTGAAATTTTGAAAATATTTGTTGAAAGTATTAAACTTTTGAAGGTTTTAAGATTTTACTCTTATTTATGAATGGGTTAATATGTATTCGTATAAGTACTCTAAACTAACTGACGTCTTTTTATGACAAGAATACCATTGTTAGCGCTTCAAAGCCCTTGCTCCAAGGTTTTAAATAAGTTTTTTTTGAAGTCCGTTTGTGCAGTGCGGCGCTAAAGTTGCATTAAATTATTTATAAACCATTGTAATTTTTCGGAATTATTATTAAAAAAAATGTATTTTGCTAAGTTAGTAGAACTCGCAACAAGTTCGCTTACAACAACTGACTGACATTTTAAATTTTTAACCAAATTTCGTGTGCGGAATCTTTTTGAATATTGGAAAAAGATTACGGTTATTCAGTTTTATCAAAAAACAAAGCTTAAGCGTGGTACAAAGCCTTTGACCATGCCTCGTACTGGACGACCTTCGACCTCTACAACTGATGAAAATATTCATAGGCGTAGGATATGTTGCTTGAAAATTGTCAGACAACTATTAAGCTATCTGTAAGCTTTCTTTGAGAATGGACTCTTTAAGGACCCTCCTCAGCGCGGGTCGCATGACACCTTGATTAGTTTACGCTAGGGTGTTTTCGTAGAAACCATCCTTGCAGTCACCTGCTTGAAGCGGAACCGCCTGCTAGGAGCATTAAGAGATTTTACATTGACGGCATAAGACAAGACCACACTACGGACGTAACTGACAGACCGCCATTCACAGTGGAGCCATAAACACCTTCACGGCTCCCACTCATTGAATGACCTCCTTGGAATCAAACTGCCAAGCATTGCAGACATCGAGCTCAAGTTGCCGCGAAAATCGAGAGTGACTCTTGCGCAGCTTCGTTCTGAATACTGTATCAGATTAAACTCCTGCTTATCCAGAATCGACCCCGATATACCTCTTTGACTCAAACCACCTATTTGCGTGCCCAGCTAACCCTATGCATCTGACATCCCTCTCCCGGAGGCGGAGCCAAGTCCACTTTTCAAAATGTTCAACTCTTGCTACTGCAATTCTCTGTTATAAATTAAAGCTCTATATTTTATTTTAGTGCTTAGTTATGGCACTTTATATATTTTCCTTTAAAATATGGCAGTTATGCGGACGGACAGAGACAGTCACTCGGAAGTCAACTCGTTGCGCCATACTGATCATTTATATCCATATCTATATCCAGCCCGCTTAGGTTTAGTTGAAACGTAGAACCGTTAGTTAAAACAAAATTATTGTACTCTGTAGCAACAGGTTGCCAGAGTATAAAACTATTAAAAATGTAGCTCACCTTTCCTCGAAATACACGTTGGTATTGGTCTGTATTATGTATCAAAAAATTATAGCTACTCCCACATGTGTGTATATGTATATAGTATGTATGTATGGCTATGTAATATATATATAAAAAAAATATCAGTTTTCGGTTTGTAGAAGCTTCATGTTTTGTATGTCCATTAATTGACAACGCTAATGTGTTTGCTTATCGATATTTGCATTCTGATTATATTGGCGCCATTTTCATTTTAAATTACCCTTCTAATGCCTTACATAAGCTCGATAAATGGGCATCAAAATCAAAACGGGGAAATATATGCGGAGTAAACTGGAGAGAAGCAACATTATAATATGTGTCGAAAGTGTGATTTACACACAAACTTACACATGTATGAGTGTGCGAGTGAGTGTGTGCAATAATCTCGCTGTTGAATGTTCGCAGAGATCATAAATTGGTCTCATACATGTTCAGGCGTTTGCTGCCTTCTCTTAATTCTAGTGTAAATATGTACACCAAAGTTGACATCAATTAAAATTAAATTATTTCAAGTGCACTGTAAATTTACAGCAATTTACAACACTTGCACATATTTGCTCTAATTTAAAAAAATAAATTTGTATAAACATGCATACATACATACATACATAGATACGTGCTCATTTGTTATAAATTTTTGGTTGAAAATTTCGACATTTAGCGAAGCTGGTGGAGGTTTCAGAACTAGGTTATGTTTCATCGGCAGATGAATTTTGATGGGATTCTTCGGTGCGAAAGTTTGCAAGCCAATAAAGGGAGAGGCCAGTCTAAGGTCGACATTCTTTATTTATTGTGATTGTAAGCAAATAGGGTGTCTACCGGTGTTTGTATATGTATTCATTGTTTAAATCTTAGAGTGACCTAAGCCCTTAAGTAACATATTTTTTAATAAGAGTTCCATCCTGTTGGAACTATATATTGCAAAAGTCCACATCATCCTATTCAGGCCAAAAATAGTCGGTTACCGCTCAAAGAGGTAGCGATTCCTATTCATAGTAACGTGGCGGTCCTGTTCATCACGGAAGAAATACGGCCCAAGGACGTCGCCGCCCCTTAAAACGCACCAAACCGTATTTTTTTTGGCATGCAGTGGTGACTCATGCAGCCTAACCTCTGAAGATGATTTTTCGATGAAAATCCTGATAATTTTCAAGGTGATGCTCAGCTCAATTCACGAAGTTACGACTCTGGATTTAAGGATATAGGCAAAGACCTTTTCACAACGACGTTATAGAGATGCCCAAAGCTTGAGAACGACGTGTGAGAGACTGATGCGGGTCTTCTCCAATTGATGCGTATAGCCCATGAATCCATGCGTGGCTACCGTTTCGGAAATCTCACCGCTATTCGACTTGGAAACTTTCGGCTTGAATTTGACTTAAGTAACCCAGTTCATCAACCACTTCAAAAATTGTTCTATTTTGTGACGATTCATTCGTGATTGGCGTATGGAAATTCGGTCCATGTGGTTGCTATCCGCTAACTCGTCAGGCACCCATACATTGGCATTCTTTTTAAATACAGTTTTAGTCAAACGATTCCAAACGGTTTTACGAAAGTTTAGCTCTCGGACAACTCTTAAAAGACGATTTCTACCATTTATTGATATTTTCGCCAAATGACCTTCCAGAGCACGTCTTTCGACAAATTCGACCTTCCACGTGCTTGATACCGAAATTATTAGTACGAAGCTAACTAGAAATTGCGCATGTTCGACTTCTACTGTATCAAAACCATAAACCCTGTTCACATTTCCAGTTTAGTGGCTTGCATTTTTAGCTTTATCGTAGAACATCTGTAAAATATAATGTATGCACGAGTATTATCTATCACTCTATCGTCTTTTTTGATGCGTGTTTCCGCAGTACCCAGTCCAGCAATCAAAAATCTGTCTAGGCAGTTTTTGTAGTACGAAGTCTTATCTATCCAACGACGTGGACGGGATTAAACCGAACACACTTATACAACGCTAATTACAGATTACTAAAGCTATATATTGAAAAAACAATGGATGTCTTTTAACTAGAGTTTATGTATAGAAAATCTAAAACTAATTTAATAAAAATTTTCAGCAAAAAAATGTTTCAAAAAAAGTTTTCAAACAAAATTTTCAAAAAAAAAAATTAAAAAAAAAAAAATTAAAAAAAAAAATTTTTTTTAAATTTCAAACAAATTTTTCAAACTCCTTAATTCTTTTGACGATATTTAAATATTTAAAACCCTAAGGAATTGCATAACATCTTAACTGTTTTGTTGTTCATTGTTTTCAAAAATAAAATAAAAATCCATAAGCGGAAGAAACACCCACAAAACATTTCGGATTTCACTTATTCATGCCGAAACCAAAAAATTAATACCGCAATGTTTTCAAACATAGTAATAAATCCTATTAAATCATTCTGTGAAAAACCAAAATATTGTTTTCATCATCGTCAGCTTAAAGTCCACGGGGCGCATGTCAAATTATGAACAGAAATGCAAAATCATCTCTGCATACTCACATACCTTCCCAACACTAAAACGCACACAAAGCAACAAAAAAAATAACACAAAAAGATTTTGTTAAACACAGCAAATGCAACAAACACACAAAGTGACGTACTCATATTAGAATGCAGATAAACTGACATTCAGAGAAGGTTTGCTACACGCTCAACCACATACATACATACATGCTACACACATATACATACATGCATTCATTTAGAGGTAAATGAGAGAAGTCAAACTCACTGATTAACTTTGACAGCGATCATCACTGAAAATCACTCAAAAGCCACAAAACCAGCATTGAAACGTCAAACTGATTATTGTTTCCCCTCCTCTGCGTCTTTGTTTGTCTTTGCAGCACCCAAACTACCTGCCACAATACACGATTATCAGCTGAACGGGCATCAGCTAGACATTTGCCGCGGCAGCTTGCCCGCCGGCCAGCCGACGCAGACGGGCCTACTCTTAGCGGGTGGCAATGGCAACACGTCGGGCCTGAGCATTTGTGCGCCGAACATGAGCAGTTGCAGCATGAGTGCCACCAACAATTCGGGACGCACCAATTTCACCAACAAACAGCTGACCGAACTGGAGAAGGAGTTCCACTTCAATCGCTACTTGACGCGCGCGCGACGCATCGAAATCGCCAACACGCTGCAGCTCAACGAGACGCAGGTGAGTCACGATCCTTTCACCATTCTGAAACCAACTTTAGTTTTGATTACTCACACTAGCATGTTTACTAAGAGTTTGCTCCATTTCTTCCACAGGTGAAAATCTGGTTCCAAAACCGCCGCATGAAGCAGAAGAAACGGGTCAAAGAGGGTCTAATACCGGCGGATATATTGACACAACAAAGCGTCTCCACCACGACGGCCGCAACAACGAACAACAATGCTGCCGCGCCGGGAACAGCGAATCCCACTGCCAATATAAATGTGGGCAACAATTGCCCAAATAGCGCCAACAGCAGCAACAACAACAACAGCGCGCAAATGCACAATGGTCCCGCCGTCAGTGGCAGCAGCCACAGCGCAGTTCGCTTGGGCTCGGCGAGCATCGCCAACGGCAGAGAGGCTGTCACACACAACAACAACCTCAACAATAACAATGGCAATCAGAAAAGCAACAACACAATGCGTAACGGAGATTGTAATCTGACAGCGAATAGCGATAATAGCCGTGAATCGAATTAACGCAAACGCATTTGCACCGACAACGCCGACCTGACGCTGACCACCATCACCTAGGTGTTCCCATTGATGACTCCATTCGCTGGACAGGTGGCAGCACACCGATCTTACGGTTATTTCGTTATTTTGTGGCAGCTACTAGTTAGGCAACTCGAGCGCGTGGCAATAGCGTTTAGTTTTATTGCCAAATGACGGACAAACGCACCCACTACAACTACAACTACGATTGCAACGAAAACAACGAGTAGTGTAGAAAATGCGAAGCAACATGTAGCATTTGCTCATTTGGCTGTGATAACTGTTTAAACTATAAAGTCAACCCATCCTAACAAAATATTTAATTAACACATCCTCACACACACACACACACACACACACACACACATACAGACATGTGTACGGATATATACCGAGCGCAACGCATGCCAGTAGCTTATACATAGTTATGAGTGATTGTATTTGCTTTCGAAACACAAACGCCGTGCAATAATCAAAATTTTTACACACCACAAGTACAGTTATACCTAGCACAGTCGCATAGAAAAGTATGTAAATAAATAAAACGAGCTGTCACCGCAATTACCAAACTCATGATCGCTTGAAGTATTGCCTTCGGTTTGAGTCATACATGACTGCAAGTTCTGCTAGCGACGTCGTGAGTGTCGTAATTGGGTGCAGGTACTCGTGGAGTGTCGTAAAATGTGCCATATTCGCTAAATATAAGGTTTGCAAACAAATCAAACTTTTTTCTTTACATTTTAGATGCAAGCGTTTGCTAATAGGTCTGAATATTTATGAAACCGAGAGTTAATTCGAAATAAAATTGCTCTCCTCCACCTTAGGTCGGTTTCTTTCGTTTAAAATTATTCGAGCTATTATGATTTTCTCCAAATGATGGATTATCGAAAGAAATATTTTTTTTTGCTAATGAAGCGTTTTCTTTGAAATATGCAAAATTCCGTTTGATAATAATTTTCGGGGAAAATAATACATTTGAATTATAATATAATCATATACAATTTAAACCAGAAAAGCCGGTCAATTATTGTTAACAATATTTGTATATATATTTTTCTAATAAAAAATTTGTGTACGAGAATATATTGGTCGACCTATCGTTGAAAAAGTCGATGAAATTATGGAAAAGATTGATCAAGACCGTCACATAAGCAGACATGACATCGCTAAGGAACTTAACATTCGCCATCAAAAGGTTTTGAATCATTTAAAAAAGGCTGGCTACAAAATGAAGCTCGCTGTGTGGGTACCACATGAATTGTCTATGAAAACTTTAATGAACCGAATTAACATCTGCGATTCTTTGCTGAAACGAAATGAAATCGAGCCATTTCTGAAGCGAATGATAAAAGGAGACGAATAATGGAAAAATACGACAATCACTCAAGAAATGGTGGCAAAGCCAGTATTGACGCCTTAAAAGGTTATGCTGAGTGTTTGGTGGGATCGGATAGAAATCATACACTACGAGCTGCTCTATCCCGGTCGAGAGATTGATCCTACATTTTACGGTCAACAACTGATGAGACTGAAGTAAGCAATCGAAAAAAACGGCCAAACTGATCAACAGAAAAGGTTTCGTCGTCCATCAGGACAACGCTAGACCATATGCATCTTTGATGACTCGGCAAAAACTGGGAGAGCTTGACTGCGAAGTTTTGATGTATCTACCATATAGCTCTGACCTTGCACCATCAGACTACCATTTGTTTCGGTCAATGCAGAACTCCCTTAATGGAGTAAAGTTGGTTTCAAGAGAAGCCTGTGAAAATTACTTGGCGTAGGTTTTCGCCGCGAAACCAGAGAAGTGTTATGGTACATATTTGGTTCATAAAAGTTCACTATAAATATAAAAAATAAGTTGAAGTTTGAATAAAAATACGAAAAAACTTTTTCGACTAACCAATACGTTCAACAGTTTCAGAGGAAATATATTATCATTTACCCCTAGGAATTTAATTACAATTTTCGGTTGTTTTTTTGTCACAATGTATATATATAATTTTAAATCGATAACTTTTGAGTTACAGGCTCCTAAAGTGTAGCCGGTCAGTTCAAACAGTTCAATCAGTTTATCTTTAAAACCGGTTTTCTTGAAACAACAGTTTTTGAATATGCTTGAGTGATTGCTTAGAACAAATGCTCCGATCACTATCAATTTTTTCTGCAAGTTCTATATATAGTTCTCCAAAATAAAAAACTTTTAAGTAAAATTCAACTTTTCTTTCTAGTTTTGACTTTTTTTCGACCCTAGGACAAGGTATGAACGAGAATTTTTGTAAGTTTCATGAGAGGTGTTATGTATTTCGATTTCGCCTATTTCACAGTGTGTGAATTGAAATTGGACGCATAGTGCCTGAGATATAGGATTTCACATAAAGGTGGGCGATACAAATTATTCAATCTTTACACCGGCTCTCGTGAAGCCTTCTCATACCATCTTGATTGTGAAGTTTAATGTTTGTGCCGCATTTTCAGTGAGTTATCGCACCGTCAGTAGTTTTCAACATAACCTTTATATGGGGGTAGGCGTGGTTCTTAACTGATATTACCCATTTTCTCAGAGTATGAAGGTATGCTAAAGAGGTTTCTTCCGAGCAAATTTGATCTAGGTTTCAACTAGTGGATTACCTATTTTGCTTAGCGCCGTTGCAGGTCTTATGAAACTCGAAAAATAAAGACTCCATTTCTTATAAAAATGAGTCAACCAAAACTATGCTCACCGGGTATCATTGATTCCAATTGGGTTATTTTTAAAAACATTAATTTGACAACGAAAATCTGCTCGCAAAGTGCAAAATATTCAGACTTTGCAACGCTGTAGATAATAATAGTTTATACCATCTTTATAATAAGTGTTCTGTAAATTATACACAACTGTACATATGTACATTAGTATGTACACACATAGCTAATTGCCATTAAAAACTAAAAAAATAAATCAATAAAAAAGTATGTATGTATGTATATAGATTTCGAAATTTAATATTATTGATACAAAATACAAACTCAGGGTTTTGCAGATGGCGAAATATTGTTATTTTATGCAAAATATTACGAATAAGCGAAACATGTACTTTTCTGCAAAGTTAGTGATTATAATTAGTAATGCATTGAAATAATCAAAATATATTATTGTAACACATATTTATTTACTGTAAACAACAACAAGTGGAAGGTATTTAATTGAAAGGCCACAAACTATTTATTAGCTTCCTCAAATTACTAAACAATTCGTATTCATGTATTCATAAATATAAGTTCAAAGTCACACTCTAATTGTTACATTGTGCTAAATTATTTATAATTTCTCTGTGTTTTGATTGGCATAAGCGATTCGTCTAAAATAATTGTACAAAATCTAATTGAAAATGGCTTAAGTTCCATGTGAAGAAGATGTGTTTATCATACATTACTTATCTATAGCACTAATTTTGTTGTATATTTGATCATAGTTGATAATTTTAACTTAATATAATTAGAACAAACTAGTCCTAACGGTAATATACAAATGTATACTTAATTATAAATTATTGCAAAATAAAACTACATAATTTCAATTGTTGATAAATCATATTTTAATCAAAAGTGGGATAGGGATTTTTAGCCTGTAAGGAAAGGCAGTAATAGCCATCTTATAAGGTAGCAGCTAATGATTTTCTATTGACACGGAATAAAGGAAAATTTAGGATATTTTTTCAATATTCTTTTTGTTTTGACAGATTAAGCGTGAGCCGTGTCATTTAAAGCAATGCACCATTTCGATGAAAACGACGCGAATTTAATGATGACAAAATTTAAATTCTATTGCTTCACGTCCATCGTATTCTCATGATCTAGCGCTCAGACTTCTCGTGTTCCCAGACTTCCAGGGAACGTTCGCAAAAAAATTTAGCGACACTTATGGCAAACACATAGATTGAAGTCTAGTTTTAAGCACAGAATAAGTCGCCACAATAATATCAAAGAAGATTTAAAATAAATTTTCTCAAAGAAGATTGTTTTTCTTTATAACGGTACTAACTTTTCATTCATTCAACTCGCATTTTTGATCAAACAATTTCCAAAAAATATTATAATGTATAACATTATTTATAGACGTTTTTTAGGCGTAGTCGCTTTAAAACTGATGGGTCCATTTCCGTTAAGAAAATGCTTTCAACGAAATACAGTATCCGTTCGATGAAGGCTTATGGCTCATCAAGCCCTTCATATTTCCGGCAACTTTAATTATAGCATTAAAATCATAACCTCCAACAATTAAGGATTCATACGTCCTATTGTATTTTAAAATTAGATGGATAGTTAGAAAATAATTAAGGTTTTGCACTGCCGACTATGGTATCTTGCGCCCCCTCCTATATCACATGTGGTCACAAAGGTCCAGCACTCCGAATATTTCCGGGAACTTGTTGGGCGCAATTGAAGTGATATGATGCCTGTCCACGTAGATGGATCCTAAGGGCGTGAGACTGATTCTACAAATTGTTGGGCAATCTAGAATGAGCTGTTCTGGATTTTAGAGTTCCATGTCGCAAAATCGGTAGTTTGCGCAATAAACTATGTCTATGTTGAACAAGTGCTTTCTGAGTTTGCTCCACTCCGCCTTACTGTCTAGAGTAACTTGAAACTTCTTTGTAAAGTTTACCCTTTTCATAATGGCGTCCCTTGGCAGAAGGGCCTTTCCTCTAAGGCCTTCATTTCTTGAGACGACATTACGTTCCCTTTGTCAAAACCCACTGCTGCCATGGGCGGAATGGTATGTTTCGCTGTCTATTTGATCACTAGATGCAGCAGTGTGAGCACCAGCACCAACTTGCCTTCAAGTGCAGCGGTTCGGAAAATACACATTGCCCAAGAAGCGCAGACGCAAGCAAGGCATTGCAGCTGCGAAGACTGCGTTGCCTTAGATGCCTAACCAGCCGGTCTATAGATGACAATAGGTCTTACCATCATGGTATACAGCCACCTGATGATACCTGGCCAGGCGTCTGCATATCATGAGCGCCTTAGTGGCTTTGAACAGTGTTAATTCCACGCGCCTATTCCACCGTCAGGTTGAGTCTAATTTGAGGCATAGAAATTTGACTTCTTTAGACACGTCCAACTGCCGGCCTAAATGTTTGGTGCCTCAAGACCGAAAGAGATGTTCGTATTGCTCCATCCCTGTACTAGACTTTTGAACTATGTCGCAGAGAGTTTTCTCAAATTTATCTCGTGCCATAATGACAATGTCATCGGTGTATCGCTGGTAACGAGTCCCATTGTTTGTGAGCAACCCAAGGAGCTCATCTACTACTAGGCTTCATAGTAGGGGGGATATAACTCCAAACTGTGGGCAGCCCTTCGTAGTACGAAGCGGTTAAAATAATATTTTTAATTAATCAATTTTCCGCAAAAAATTTGGGTCCATTTATTAATATTATTAATTGCGCCAGAATAAAGAAATCCATAACGACTTGAAGGCGCTTAAAAATTGCGTATTTAGTTTTTAAATGCAAAATTAACAATCGACATTCTAGAGCTACATTGGTTTACGGTATTTTATGGTAAATAAAACATCACTTTAATTTGCATAAATGAGGTAGTAAATTTGATCGCAAGTCGGATGAAATTGTATTTCTGTCTTTGGTTTGCCCAAATATTTTGAAGGCTTTCAATCTTTCGAACTAATTAGAGGATTACCACTGTTATGGTGTTAAGTTTTGTGTTCCACAAGGCCAACAGCTTAGAGATAAGTCCAAAGCGCCAACTTCCAGTGTACAAAAGCCTTGGTCTCTCATTATGCAATGCCAATTTTTTATAAACAGGTGCATTAAATGTCACATGTCAAAGGCAATACATCAAAAGGCCTTTTCTATTTTCAGTTTTTATTCGACTTGATATCTGAAATATCTATGTATATAAGTATGTATATATGAATGTATGTATGTTTATGAGTAATCATGTACACAAAAGAAACCCCATTTTGTACATGAGGAACTTACTTTGATATTATTTATACCAATCCATCAGTTCTTCAGTAGACGGCGCTATTTCAAAGGAAACATCATTTGATTAATTGATCGATATTTTTTTAATGCAAAAGCTTAAAAGAAATATAGAATTATGTCTGTACAAATATATTATTGGGTCAAATTTGGAATAAATTAAATATGTCCTTAAAATTTGGTGAAATTGCAAAACTGTTATGAATATGCCTACATTTTCCACTTCTAACATATTTTTATGATTATTTGCAAATTTGTTGGAAAGAAGTGAAAAAGAGACATAGAAAAGACACGTACGAATTCTTATACATCGAAGTAACGCTGGAGGCCTTGTTTATAACAAATTAGCCATACTCTTATTTTAATAATAACGAGTTTCTTCTTATCTCATTTTATTTGCGCTTTCGTTATTTGCATTGGCATTATGACTATTCTCTTTTCAAACCTGACGATTCTGAAGTTGATCGAGATTATTATCATCGGCATACCGTTATAAATATGTTTATACATATTCGATTCATTGCTCACAGTTAATTCTTTTGATTTACGTATCGATAATTTTACAACATCCCCATATAGTGTTTTCAGCTGTCAATAAAATGCATTACAGCTGTCTGGTAACCCTGTCACTGATAAGAACAGATATCCACCACCGTATAACAGTTTTTATCGCTTATACGTCACCTTCATTTTGACCTGGCAAAACAAGCTAATAAATAGTAAGATTTTAAATTTAAATAAATCATGGAGCTTGTTGGTTTTGTACATAAATACGAGTGGGGTAAAGTAGGCAATGACTCTGCGGTAGCCCAGCTCGCAAAACTCAATGACCCGCAATTTAAAGTGGATGATAAAACTCCTTACGCCGAATTGTGGATGGGCTCCCATCCCAGCGGACCGTCAAAGTACAAATCAAGTGGCACTACACTACAAGATGAACTACCATTTCTATTGAAAGTTTTAAGTATAAATAAGGCTTTGAGTATTCAAGTTCACCCCAACAAAGTAAGTACACGCAATGTGTACACAGCTTGCAAATATTATATTCTGTTTGGTTTGTTTACAGTCAGAAGCACAAAAATTGCATGCGAAAGAACCTAACATATACAAAGACCCCAATCATAAACCTGAAATGGCTATTGCTCTAACGCCCTTTACAGGCTTATGCGGGTTCCGTCCTCTGCCTGAAATTTATGATATATTATTGAATATAGAACCACTTAAGGCTTTGTCGGTGAACGATCCCAATGATCTCAATCTATTGGCTGCTAATGATGAGCTCGGCTTGCGTAATTGTTATCAACAACTAATGAGTGCAGAAAATGACACAATTGGCGCCTGTATCGAGTCAATCTCGAAAAGCTATATAAAAGGTAATGTGCTGAACTTAAAATATCAAAAATGAACTGTTTTTATATATGTTTTATTTACTTTCATAGAATTATGTAAATACGATGTGCTTGAAATCTTTAATACGCTGAAAAAGGATTTCCCCAATGATGTCGGTGTGTTGTCGCTATTCTTTTTGAATGTGATTCGATTGCAACCGGGACAGGCGATGTTTCTTGGCGCAAACCAAATACATGCTTACCTATCGGGTGATTGTGTCGAGTGTATGGCTTGTTCAGATAATGTGATACGCGCTGGATTAACGCCAAAGTATAAAGACATCAAACAGCTACTTAGTTGCCTAGAATATACAGGTGCTCCATCCGAAAGCAAAATATTTAGCCCGGAACGTGTTGACAACCATCAATTAATATTCAAACCACCCGTTGAAGACTTTTCACTCATACAATTATCACTGAAACCTACGGATTTAGAATATGTTTTAAAAGTTGAACAATCGCCAGGTATTTTACTTGTGATAAGTGGTGAACGTAACTTGGAAAGCAAAGGAATGGATAAGTTGAAACTAAAACGTGGTTCAGTTGTATATTTGCCTTTTGAAAGTGGCACAGAATTACGATTTTCATCTGCTGGTGAGGACAAACATGAATTTTTGGTTTACATCAGTACACCTAATGCAGCAGCCACCAACTCTCATATATAGTTAAAATTTCCGATTCTACCGAAGTTATGATTTCCCATTTATTGCAGTTACTTTTATAAATGCAATAAATGTATATTTTTAGTTTTAAATAATAAAAAGGCAACTATTAGTATAACCTTGTATTGCAAAAATATATATATAGTGTTCTTCTTCTATATTTATATCGTCTCAATAATTTTTATACCCTGAATTGGGTATACGAAGTTCGTATGACCCAGAAGGAAACGTCGGACAGAATATAAACCAAATATATAAATGATCAGCTTGCTGAAGTGAATCAATTTCCGAAATTTCTCTCCAAGAAGCTGTTTTTAAAATAAATAAAAAATCTTTTTATAGCCTTTTCTGCTATAAGAAATGCTCCTTTTAAGTTTGCAACTTCTTTTGCTTTTGATTTCCGATAAAAAAAAATGTACGATACTTATCGATTTAAAGAGTTGCAGAAAATACCACAGAAAAATAACAATAATTTTCGTATTTGTTAACATTTATCAAATATTGAAATTAAATAATACATTACGGTTATAATGATAATCTACACGATATTTATTTATACATAAATTAACAAGAACAGCATTCCTTAAGATTTTTTATACAATTTAAATACATTTAATAAATATATGAAGAAGACAGTGTACTACTTAAGATAGAATCAACTAAGACTCTGATGTATAACTAGATATACTATTTACCAATATAACGGGGTACATAAGGAAGTGAAATTTAGAGCAATTGTAGAATTTTTTTAACCATAACACCTACACATGTACGAATGTGCTAATCGTTAGCATCAGTTGTGGCTGTGGGATTGTATATGTGCGTTTGTATAATAGTGTACATTCAGTGGTTTAAAAATCTATTTTTCTACTCATAGTGTATAATCTCAAACATTTTTTTTTACTTCAAATACGTAATGCAATAGGATATAATGCCTTTTAATCTGCTAAAAATGCGCTAATCGATCGCTCTCAAAATTTTAAATACAATAAAGTAGAATTACGATAAATATGTATATTTATATATGTATATATACATATGTGCGCTAGTGTACGGTATATACGCAAATAGTAAAGATGCCTCGAAGCACATCAATATTCGCTATAAATATGCGATACGTTTTGTATAAGTGTATAATGTAAGTAGTTACTTAAGTGGTGGGTAGTTAGTTCAGCATTTGTATTTTAGTCATTCGCAATTTCCGCTTTTTAGTGTATATATTGTATATGTATAAAGTTGTATATAGTTAATTTTCACGTGTAAATTGTAAAAATGCGCCGTAGTTGGTACGTCTTCTCGGTATTGTGCAGTTTAATGTGTGTATCAGGATTATGTTGAATATATCAATTCGAATTGGGTTTTGCCTTCTTGTGATATTATTTGTGCATATTCATTTATCTTATTTAACTTTACAGTGTATCATTACTTAACATGCTTAGCTTTTGAGCAAATTGTTGGCACGCTTGTTAACACCATCCATACGAACGTTATTTGCGTCTCCCTTGGCGTTAATACGATCAATTTGTTTGTTTTGATTTTCCAATTCGGATCCCATATCTAATGCCATATTTCGCAGATTTCCCAACATTGAGTTCACTTGTCCAATATTCTCATCCATTTCATCTTCCCGGGCGTCATTTGTAATGCGGGGAATGTATCCACTTTGAGCTGGCACACCACCCATTCTTTCCCGTTCATCTACAACTCTGGTAGGTTGACTGTTCACGATTTTACCATCTTCATTCGCTTTCCAAGCATTATCGCCGTCATCTTTTATTGCTACCTTCTTCCAAGGCACAACACACAAGCCACAGCATTTTTCCATACCGCTTAGATTTTTCTCGGCTTCTCTCATGTCGGCGTTAATGCGATCCATGCCTTCCTCAATTCGATCCAGTTGTTCGCCTTGGTCGTCTAAAGCTACCAGCGTTCGGATGCCAGCCTCTTTACTTTCTTCCATAAGATTTAGCATCCGACGAGTACTTTCGAGGGACTCATCTGCTACCTGACCAGATTTAAGTTGCAATTCCTGCAATTCTGTACGAGGTACTTCGGGTGCAGCCATCTTGATATTTATGTGATGATATCAGCTACCTTTTTACCTAATTATTCACTTCACAGCAATTAATCATAGATGTCTTACAAATTTCGCAAATACTTGCTAATTGTTGTGCTCACCTTTTCTTAGTTGGCAATAAAGTAAAACTTATGGTGACTCATAGACGTCCTGCTAGTTTAATTTTAGCTTAATTTACTCAAAGTATTAAAAATTTATAAACAATCACTTCCTTAACCTCTACCCTTGAAATATATGCCAAATCAATTGGTAAAACTCGCAAACTTTCGTCACGAAAAAACCACCTACTCCATAACTCTTCTTTCAACAATTTCTTTGTATATCTACACATGGTTGCAAAGTTGGTAGCATTTGTTTGTAATTTTGTTTTTAGCAGCATTTTCGTAGTTTTGAGGAATTTTGAGAAATACCCCTTTGAATAAATGGAGAATTATTTTTATCAGCACAACACAGGGTGCACTTCAGAAACAAAAATATATCCGCAGGAGTTTAATGTTGCAAGATATGGTCTAATATTCTTGACTACTTAACTAACGTTGAATTAATTTGTTTAACATAAACAATTTCATATAATTTCGTCTTTGCATATATATTTTCTGACAATAGTTTAATTTTGAAAATTTTTCGTGCACGGTAGCAATTACAACCCTGTGTTCGTTTTGACGAAAGCAGTGGTTGAAAACGGAATTGGAAACTTAGTAAATTTTAGTTGAGTTCTGTTTCGCATGTAGTTCAATGGTTCAAATGTTGTTCGCATTCGCATTCGCATGTTATTCGTTGTACGTTATTCGGGTGGGTCGTTTTTGTTGTAATTTTTTAGTGACACATTAAAAATTGGAAATTCTAGCGGCGCGCTTCTAATTTATGTTCATACGGCATTTCTGCAAGTTTTATCTACTCCCTTCCTGTTGGAAAATATTGCGGCAGTGTAAAGTTATTATATTTTCCAATTATTTATGAAAATGTTTGAATAAGTGCATACCTACGCTACTGGAAATCGGATTAGGTGGTGGCCGTGGTGACGTGACGGCAGTAAAAGTAGTAGCAACAGCGAAAACCGAAACAGTAGAAAAGATAATATAAAAATAACGTAGAATAAGAAAAATTCGTAACGAAAGCAGGAAAGGAGAAAAGCAAAGCTGGTCAAGTGCAAACGAATTGTTGCTGGTCCGCTGCCTTGGAGTAGCGCTTGGCGAGTTTGCGTCTTCTGCTTCCGCCGACTCGTGGTAACGTGGAAAGAAACGGACAACGGACGTGTTGGAATCGAATACTTGTTTTACGCGACGCGATACGGTGAGTACGCGTAAAGTTTACCTATATACATGCATACATATAGCTACTTCAACCTTGTGCAAAGCTGTATGCTAAAAGCAAAAGTGCATTAAGTGACTACAATAAGATAAGATGTGATAAAAATCTAAAAAAATTATAATGATATGTGGATGAATTAATGCGTCATGTTCAGAACAATTTGGGTGTGTCGCTATTCAAATGGATAATAAATACAAATCGGTCATCGTATTGTTAACTTGCTACGCCTTTAATATTGTTTGTTTGCTACGTTAGTTAATAAATGAAAACATTTCAATACGACTTAATAACAACTAATGTGGAAATGTTTTAGTACTTAAAAGAATGTTTTACATTGGTACAGATACGGCTAGTTCCGTAGCACTTCAATATGTACATATAGTAAAGATACAAAATGGCTAAATTAAATGAAGTTGCCTTTTGTTTACTCCAGTACAATAGTTTTCATTTCATATGATTTGATTTTGACACCTGCTTCTGTCATGCGTGTATATGACAGCAACTCATTTCGCCAGTATAATACTGATGTGCAGTAAAATCCATGTATAAATAAATTATAATAAACCAGTGTAGTTATGTTTAGTTATACTTTTGGTTTTATAACTTAATAAATCTGCAGTAATAGTTCTTTTGGAGTACAGGATGTTAATTCTGTACATTTCGGTTAAGTAACCAAAGGAACTGTGTAATTAATATCTTCAAGACATTCAAATATGCATAAATAAAAGTTAAATGTATTAAGATTTTTCGAGAATACGTTTTTTTAAATATTGTGGCTCTAACAACAAAAACATAAATACGAATTTCTATTCTCAAGTGCTTTATGATTTCGTTTTAACTCTATTTTGTTGCCCATTTTAATTCATATATTGTATTAATTTTTTAACATTGCTTCTTTTTCAGAAACAAAATATATATAGTGATTTAGTAAAAACTGGGGTTTTAAAAGTTAAAAAAGAAATACTAAACAAACGTTTTAAAAACAAGATTTTTCATTGATTAAAGTTGTATACTGTCGTTTAGTTCTTTTCTTCTATGCAAATATTTCGAATAACATACGAACGTAATCAAAGGTGTGAAAATTTGAGTTTTAAAAAAGTAAAATAATTGCGGGATTAGTTCAGAAAGTGCGCGAACCGGGCTTGTGAATTATCGCAACGTATGTTAATTATTCATCTTTTAATCGAATTGTCGCAACATATGCCGTAAATCGACGTCATGTTTAAGTGCATTCCAATATTCAAAGGCTGTAATCGCCAAGTTGAATTCGTTGACAAACGTCATTGTTCGCTGCCCAGTGTGCCGGAGGAAATTCTACGTTATTCACGTACATTGGAGGAGTTGTTCTTAGATGCCAATCATATCCGAGATTTGCCAAAGGTAAGATAATAACACTTATTTGTGAAAATATTGTATGTAATCGCATTTATAAGAAAATCTTATACTATTACATAACAGTATCACTGTATTGCTTTTGTATATTTTTTTAAATATAGCATATCTGAGAAGAGATTTAAATTTGCTGTAGTGTACGTTCATCCAAGTTGTTCTACCATTAATTAAAATCGCATAAATTCTTAAAAAAATCTTTTTTATCTGTCCTACAAGTCGAATACGCAGCCGGAAGTTGCCAATTAAATTTAGCGTATGAATTAAAAAATGAAAAGAAGTGACATTTCAGAGTCTTATTTTGCTTCTATTTAGGTTTTAAACATAATTTTCGTTTACACAGAATTTGTATGTTAAGAAAAGATTGAATGAAGAGAACGACGACAAAGGCAAAAAGCACGTTTACTTCAGTTAGCAATATAGTTTTTTAGTAAAGTTTTTGTGGTACATTAAAAAAAAAATAATAATAATATTTTTTAGCAACTCCTTTCTGGTGCTCTTTATTGAACAACACGTTCTTCAATATATACATATTTTGAATATTTTCTGCATGTAGTTGTACATCTCATCCATTCTACTTTCTTGAACGCCATTATTACCCATAAATGTTTGACTTGCATTGATGCAGTAAAAAAAATTGTGTTAATAGTGTCATACTTCGACGTTTTCCGCTGTGGTGACATTTAAATACCAATTTTCCACAGGTTGACACTCGCTACTGCTGGCGATTGTTGCTTTTTCAATGTTTACTTTTTTGCTTCTATGCAAAAACTTGATTTCCCATACCATTGACACAGTTTTGCTAAACATTTTCTTACACTTTTACATATTAAACTAGCGTTGGCGTTCATCTAAATTATGCCGCCACAACAACACCAACAACTAAGGTTATGTATTTTTGTTTTCTAATGCAAATGTCAGCTAGTGAACCGGTGCATTTGTTGCCCGAGGGGAATATTTTTATACACAATTTTGCATGCACTTGCATGTTTGTACGGCTTATTTTTGTACTTTATAATAATGTCATGTTGACAGAATTAAAACGCCATATGCATAAAGAGACATATTCGAAAAAAAAGAAATATGATGCACTAAAGTCATTAAGGTTTGTATATCAGAACTCAACACAGTACATGAATGTTATTAATCGTATATGCAGTTGTATACATTTAGTACATACTATATAGTTTGTAAGGTTGTCTATACATATACATATGTATATGTGTGTACGCACTTATTTATTAAAAAAATATATAATGTGAGCATAGAAAAATAATACAAACTCCATTTATGTACTTTTTTTTATTATAAAACTTATTGCATAAATTGGCTTTAGACAAATCAGTATAAAGGCTTGATTTTGAACGTTTGTTCCTTATGCAGCGGCAGAAATCTGCCGAGTTGTTGTTGTTGTTGTAACGGCAGAATTCTGCCGAGTTGACAGTCCTTGGCCAGATAAAAATCCGGGTCCGTTCCGGTTTTCGTAGACCCGACTGTCGTGGGAACGGAAGCTGTATATGTATACTTTGAATAAGCAAACATAAAAAACGCATAAGCATATACAACAAAAACGCAAAAGCAAAAAAATGAATCCAGCAAACAATCTGCCGAGTTGGCACTCCTTGGTCGGTCCATGTCCGTTACGGTTTTGTGAACCCGATTGTTGTGGTAACGGTCTGTTTGTATGGCAACTATATGCTATAGTGGTTCGGTATTGTTGGTTCCGACAATTGAGAAGAATCTTTGAGCGAAACAGCAGTTCAAAAACAGAGGGACATTGCATATATAGCTAATTGACTCAGCTCGTCACGCTGATCTATTCCATATACACTTTATAGGGATGTTTCGTCTTAATTCTACCTGTTCTGACATTTTTGAAGCAATGAGTATCAGAATTTATCATATATTATAGTGATTTAAGTAAATTTTTGGAATAATATTACTGAAATCGTTAAAACCCTCCATATTTTGAACTATAAAAGTTTCTACTTTATTTTCATGCTTGGCTGGCGACTTTTCTGCCCTTTCGCACACATTAATACATCAGCGAAAATAATTTAATTATCTGTAGATGGAAATAAACATGAAATATTCTCACACATATCACCGCAAATACAAGTATCTACTTCAGAGAATGCTTGGAGACACGCGAAAATGGGAGCTTTTAATTAAGAACGCTAGTGAGCTAGCGAACTGCTGCTGTTTTATATCTTTTCAGTGTTTTATAAAGCTTTTATTACGCTCATACTAGTTAATCAACATGAAAAATGCCGTACGAAATATCATTAATTGCACACGAGAATTTTTGGGCTCGGAGTGTGAGCATTTATGAATTTCTGCAGCCTCTAAGCCGGCTCTAACATTTACGTGTTTATGGTTTCCTAATCGAGTAGTGACATCATTGTATGGCGTTACTTAACAAATATTTTGCTTACGATTCAGAAACGTTAAGCACCAGTTTCATGTGGCGGGTAAAAAAACCGTAGATGAGAGCCTAGACTTAGGTGAACAAGTGTGCGTTGTTGTTGATACAGCAGGTCTGTAGCGTGAGAGATATTCACATTCGAATAGGTGTACATATTTTATTAATCTTTTTCAATGATCTTTGGTTTTTTCAAAACTAGTTTTCAGCGACAAATAGTCGCGCAATTTATTTCCATACAGTGAGTCGCAAAAGTTTGCGTAAAATAATAAAGATAAATTCGAAAACTGCAAATAGATATTTGCAAAACAAAAAAAAACAAAAAAAAAAAAAAAAAAAAATTACGAAAGAACACAAGTTCATTAATTTTAATTTTTAAATGTCTGCTTCTAATATTCTTTTTAATTTTTCATTCTATTTTCCAGTTTTTTTTTTGTGATTTAGTTGTTATTTTATATTTTAGACGATATCTGTGTTTATAAACATTTGCTTTACTTTTGTACACGCTGTAACACTGTGCGCTTTTCAGTTGTTTGTGTGAATTATATGAGCATTTTTCTATTACTCCAATCTATTTTTAGCTTTTTTGTTAAAAGCAAACAAAATTAAATTAAAACCGGTTGTGGAATAATAAATTTGATTTAATACTTCAGTAATATAGAAAATAAATACATAGGCATTTTGCCGTAATTTATATAAATTTGATTTGCGTTTGTCGCTTCACATTCCCTTTAGACGGTAGCAAACTTTCGAGTACACTTATCTTTTTGAGTTCGCTAGACTTATAGACCAATTTTTTTTCTTGATGATATCTCGTAAAATAAAAAAAAGTTTTCCATATAAGCACTTAATTTCGCTCGTGCAGTTTGTGGGACAGCTATAAACAATGGTGTTCCGATGTTGGCGATTCCAACAAATCATCAGCTTCTAGGGTAGAATGGTAGCATGTGTGCAAAATTTGTGATATATGTCTCAAAAATTGTGGATCTAGTTCGCGTATATAGAGACGGACGGACATGTCTAAGGCTACTCAGCTCGTCACGCTGATCATTCATAGTACACATTTCAGATGGTTGTCTGGACATAACCAACTTCGTGGCATACTTTATAAAGGGATTTTCAATAAGAGGGTTACAAAACCTTGATGCTCGTTCCAAGAAGGTAACTGCAGGGATGGAGAGGCGTTCATTATGCTCCTCAACTGGGAGTATAGTGGCTTTAATATGCAGGTGTTCGATAGGAGGCATTCGGATATATAAGTTCGGATATGTCTGTAGCTTCCTCGTCTGCGTTTCACTGTCTCCAGGCGACCATATTGGTGCGGCATAGGTAAGTACCGTCCAGTCGACTGCCTTGTCAGTTGCCAACAACGTTTCTTTGTCCTTTTCCAACTAGCGACTTGAGGATTTTGTTGAGTTTCTGTACTTTGGCGATAATCGCGGTACTATTAGGAGTGAAAGAACACAGACTATCAAAAGTCAGCTAAAATTTTATGATTATTGGCAGTCGGAATCTTGACTCCATCAACTGCAATATTAAAGTCAAGTCTGTACTCCTTCGTCCAGTTTGTAAATATGCTCGCTGTGGATTTAACGGGGGAGAGTGTTAAGTTCCGTGCAGAGAGGAAGCGAAAGGTCGGAGAAATAGCCGACCGATAGCATTTGTATACATGCCATCGATTCCATTGTTCAACCTCAATATCGTGCAATCATCAGCGTACGAGGAGATAGAAACTCACTCGGTGCGTGTGGAAGTTTTGAGATATAGAAGTTAAACAATAGCGGAGAGACGACACCACCCACCCTATTCAATTTCCATATTGTGCTGTTATTTCGGATATCAAACCCCGTTTAGATGAGTAAGTCTTAGCAAAGGTTATGTATGTATATCACTTCTTTTTCATAGTCTGTATAATGAATTCTTTGTGGTAGGCGAAATTATGTGTATTCTCAGTATTCATTAATGATACCTCGGTAGACATACCTTTCATCTAGTGAATTGTGCTATGCATAAATTGCTTCGCCGAGGGTCTGGTGATATATATCTAGGAGGTTTGGGTATTGCAAAGAACCAACGCTTTCGGATAACCAAGAAATATCTTGCTTTATCTTTGTTGCGAGGATCAATTCTACGACCTAACACAACTTAGCGAATTTCCTGGTTGTTTGCTATTATACCTTGTGCCAATAACAGTTCTGATAAGCATAACTCCTTATGTACATATAAGTATCTAATTATACTACTTTGATAGAAGTTCTTATGCCCAGACAAAGTCCGAATTTTAGTGTCTATAAGTCGGATCCAAATGACTGTATAATGGATTGGGTTAGATTAATCTGGTAGGCCAATGAGACAAGCATAGACCAAGTTTGGTCATTTGCGAAACCTAATGGGGTCCAGTTACTAGGTCCATGAGGAGTAATCATCCTTTAGAATGCCTGCAATTGACGCGAATTTTAACAGTATTTTACTGTCCAAGACTGCCCCAATGTACTTGGCGCGGTCCTTGTTGTTGTTGTTGTAGCGGCAGAATTCTGCCGAGTTGACAATCCTTGGCCGGATAAAAATC